CTTACGCTCTCTAGCAATCAGCTCCTCCTTATTGGGGTGTGTGTGTGTGTGTGTGTGTGTCTGTCTGTCTGTCTCTCTCTCTCTCTCTCTCTGCCACACTTTTGTTTAATTAAAATAATTAGTTCTGTTAATCTTTTTTTTCATATTTATGTCTAAAAAGTCATGTACTATATGGACATTGAAAAGCAGTTCATTTGAGTTTAACTATTACCCAGAGCATTTGCATTCAACATATGTTATCAAAAGATACATCTCTTTTTAAAGGTACATATAGGTAAATGTGCACAATAGAGATCAGATTGCTTTTAGTACTTACAAGAAAACTTCTTTTCCTGCATTGTAGAACATGTCCAAGTAATAATCTTTGGCTTAAACTGGGAACAGTGATGCTTATGAAGTGCCTACAGGAGCAAAAGAAAAGTGTGGGAGATGAAATTCTGAAGATCTGCCGCTCTTTATACAAGACAAAACACAAGCTCTCTTCAGAGGTAAGTCCACATGACTAGAATCTTTGTTAAACATGAGCCGGCTTATTTGGAAGTAAACTCTTTAATGTCTACAATTTCTTCATTAAACATAGAATGATAGTGGTAAGGAAGCTTTGAAATATTTTTGCAGTGTTCAGTAACTCATTGGTTACAGGTACAGTGCTATTCCTTTTGTTCATCAGGCATTGCTACACCCATTTCCACTAGACTTTGTTCTCATGCAAGTCTGTCAGAGAGCCTAAAGTCCTGGTACAGTTGCATTTCTGGATAGTTAGTCACTACTGACAACAGATGGGTCTCAGATGTCCTTTCAGTTCCATGTGGCTAGTTCAGCCAGAGCTCCTGCCAGCATCCTTCCTAATGAAATTCTGTTTCATCTCTGTTGGTGGATCAGGGCGCTCAAGAGTTCTAACCAAAAGTGCTTGTTGGATTTGCAGTGTTTGTCACTTAAGCTTTTATTGATGCGGTATTTTTTTTAAAGTTTGGTAAAATATTGAAATGTCTAAAGTGCTTGCAGTCTCCTTTTCTCCAGATGGGGCAATAAAAACACCTCCTCATAAATTGCTAGCTTCAGACTCTTCTATGCTTCTGTTTGTAAGCTCACTTTTGTCCCAACCGCATTCATAAAGTCTTCCATTGTTACAGGCCCTGAAATGCTGTGAACATGTTTTAGGAATTGGAATAGGCGAGATTTCAAGCTGGAGGAACTGAAAACTTATCCCAGAAAAGTATTGGGAGGAGGGGCTGCATACTGAACATACTTATGATTGACTTATTTATTTACTGGGGGGAGAGCTTAATAATTTTTATCTTTACAGATAACATGCCAGTACACAAAAAATATGACCAAATGAGTTATTCCAAAATAAAGCAAGTTAATGCAATTAAAAAAAAAAACTATCAAGTAAGTGGAATATAGATGCACAAGGACAGATGCCTAGCTTAAAATTGTTTGATTATAATTGGTAGTAGACCAAAATTTTTAGTTTAGTTGTATCGTGTTGTAGTCCCCTACCTGAGTCTTTTTTAAACTTGGTATGTCAGGAACTGCTTTTGGGACTTCCTTATATGAAGAACATGTCCTAGATGGAATCATTCACAGGACAAAGGAGCATGGCAAATAAGGGCAGCAAAATCTTCATACTTCACCCTATTTAAGGACACTCAAGGGTGAGCAAGAAGAGCTACCCCCTGGTCACATGTTTGCAGAATGTTTTGTTGGGATTCATTTCAGCTTGTGGACTCTGATGAAGTTGATAGAGCACTCTCTAGAGTGAGCTCCACTGCCTATGGCTTAGATCCATGCCTTTCCTGGCACTTTCAGTGGAGGCAGTGAGTAGCTGGATCTAAGAAGTAGACAGTGTCACTTTAGGGGAGGGTGCTGTGCTGGATACCTTTAAAGAGACACTGATATAATCCCTTCTAAAGATACCTTCCAGTTACATTATTGCTCTGTGTCTTAACCTTTCTTTTTTAGGGAAGTTTATTTATTTTTATGTATTAAGTCAATTTATCCAGTTACCCTAACAACATGTGACTTACGGCCATATACACAAACAAAACAAATAAAAATATACATTAACAAAAAAAAAAACCAGTCTCCAGACACAGGCAACATTTTTGAATTGTTTTCTGTGTCTGGAGACTGTTTTGTTGTTGTTGTTGTTGTTAATGTATATTTATTTAGTTGAGCTGTATAACTGGATATTATACGCATATGATGATACCAAACCCTGTGCTGATGGTTGGCCTCACCTAGTGGCCACATGTAAATGTTAAACAGGAGCAGGGAGAGAATCATCCCCCGAGATATGCCATAGAACAGGAGCTAAGGTTTAGATCTTTCTCCCTATCAACACCGATTGAATCAACTCTGGAAAAAGGAAAACAACCATTCGCACTTCCAACACTATGAGCCGTCCCAGAAAGATACCACAAGGGTACTGAAGGGTGCTGAGAGGAAAAGAGGGCCAGGATGGGTGCACCATTACCTTCTCAGTCCCTCCATATGTCATCTACAGTGTGGTTTCAGTACCATGCTAATGCCTGAAACCTGACAGAGATTCCAATAATCCACTTTCTCCAGAGCCTCATGAAGCTGCAAGTCAACCACCTTCTCTGCCACCTTCCTCAAAAAGGGAAGGCTGGAAATGGATCAGAAATTATCCAATACTGATGGATCTAGTGACGGATTCTTGGAGGAGGAGGACCACCACCTCCTTCAAGAATTAATTCACTACCAGTTGGACTCACCTACATGTCACCCTCTGAGAGGCCTTAACAGCCAAGAAGGTTGTGGATCTAAAATGCAGGTGGTCTTACTAACAGCTCCAAGCACCCTGTTCACTTCCTCAGGGCAAACAGGCTCAAATTCTTCCCATATAACCTTGCTAGACCATACCTCAGTTAATTCAACTACACATGCACAGCTAGAGTCCAAGTCAGAATGAATCTGAGTAACTTTATCTGACAGATGCCTTGAGTAATCCTCACAGTGGCCCTTCACACAGTATTCTGACCGTTCTTCCTTAAGAGGGACCAGGTCACCTTAAACAGGGCTGCCAGACAACAATTCATGGATGCAATAACAGCAGAACAATAATTAAGTTTTGCCACTCTTATTGCCGCAGTGTAATCCTTAATAAAGGCGCTACCCATGTTCGTTTAGTTTGATCTTTGCTTTTTATCCAGGGTTGTTGAAAAGGTAATGTGGCTTCAGCTACAGAGTGTTCTACAAGAACCAGATTATCTGGACCTCTTCAGTCAGGGTTCAGGTCTGGGCATGGGGCAGAAGCAGCACTGGTCATTCTGATGGATGACCTTAGTTGGAAGAAGTGTACCCAGCAGTCTATTTGGCTTCTCAGTGCCATTCAGTACCATTGACAAAGGTATTGTTTTGGATTGTTTGTTTTGCAGATTGTTGACAATTGAAGACACTGTTCTACAATGGTTCCACTCCTTCCTAGGAGAATAATAGTGCAGGAGGAGAGATTGGCTTGATAGGGGCTCTCTTGTGGGGTCCTGCAGGGTTCAGTCATGTTCCTGCTACTCTTTAACATTTGTGTGTTTGGAACAGTTATCTGCCACTTCAGGGTGAAATATCATCTGTATCCTTTTAGATATCTGGAAGATTCCTTCAAGTAGAATCAATTTGTCCAGTACACACTTGGGGATATTAAGGGTTCCCAAGATATGAGAGGTGAGAACTGTGGGTGCCCAGAGGTGGTGTTTCTCTGTGATGGCCCCACTTTTCAGAACAGCCTCCCCCCGCACCCCCCCCCAATGTCCAGTTCACACCAACCCTGGCATTTTTTAAAAAGCTGTTAAAACAGAACTTTTCTGCAGGACCTTTGAAAACTAATGTCACTTAATGTGGGGTTAGCACTACTGGGTTTTTTGTAATTGTATATTGCCTATTTGTTTTAATAACCTTATTGTTAAGTTATCTTTTTTATAGTTTTTAGCTATATTTTAATTCTTTAATTTTTATTTATTTATTTATGCAATTTCTATAGCTGCCCATTTCAATCCAAGAGACTGAGCAGCGAACAATTTCAATAATTGAAACCATTAAAACAATTACAAATTATACATATAGGCAGCTGAGAATTGTCACAAAAATTACATAAAAATCAACAGTGCAACCAGATAACAGGGCCCTTAACGCTTTCAGGATCCAGGCTCTGGCATATAGCCAGCTTTTTAAACCCTAAGGAAAGGCTAGCAGGATCGGGGCCATCCTGAGGTCCAAAGGAACATCCTGATGTTCCAAAGGGCGGGGGCTAATAATTGTCTGTTTTTGTAAACTGCTGTGAGTCTTAAGATTTTGGAGGTTTACTGATATAATAAATATACATAAATGCATAAATTTACTGTAACGAAACGTTGCAGTAAAATTTCACCCCCAATAGGAGATATTATTGGTATCATTCACATCATCTTCATCATCCCATATTTCCTGTAGGAGCTCAAATTAGAGAACATGGTATTCCTTTCTCTAATTTTCTCCTACAACTTCAACCTGTGCAGTCTGGTTGGGCTGAGAGTGAATGGCCCAGTGAGTTTTTTTGGCTGAGGATGGACTTGAACCTGGCACTCTCTTGGTCCTGATCCAATATCTTAAGCATTACCCTACATTAGTTATTCAGGATTGCCATTAGTGTCAGATTTCAACTACTGCTAACCAGAAATAACAGCTGCTCAACATTCATGCAGCACACAAAGGAATCAGAGATGGCACTCAAGGTTAAAATTAAAGGTGGTGTTTGTGATTGTATTACCCATCTGAACTGATTTATTCTACCATGCAAGTGAACACACCAGAAAAAAGAGAGAACCAATAGATTAAATGTATTGTAGATGAGGTAGTAAAATTAGAAATATTGAGCTTTCTATCATCTCTTACAACTTCGTATTAGGGGCTTGTTTCTGGTAAACAGTAACAAAAAGGCTTGTAGAACACAATATGAAATACTGATCATATATTTCTGCACATTTTTTGTGCATCTGGAAAGGACAATTTATTGCTATGTGCACAGGGCTTACAAAAAAAAGTGCTGATGGCTCTTAAGATGCACAGTTGGGTGAAGCAGCAGTTTTCTACTGCCAGTAACATTTTATATCTGCAAACCCATCAAAACCTTAAGTGAAGAAGCTGAATTATAAGAGGCTTGATAGAACTATAAAACTTATTTCCAAAGAAGTCCAAATGACATTCTTGTTCCTGAAGACTAGGAGCGGGGAATAAAGATATACAGAAGTGCCTAACCAACTTCTAGGAACATCTACATAGAGCTAATTCAAATAAGTGTCTTAACACAGTGGTGACTTATACCATACATTCTCTTGGACCAGGTTGCTCCTTAATTGTGGAAGAGTGCTTCCTAGAGCAAGCTCTTATCCTGTGGTTAACAGTTATATAAGCTAATTAAGGTATATGCTGATTTGAGTTTGGGTGAGAAACTAATTCCATTTTATAGTGCCTGGCCTCCATTTGTCAGTCTGCCATTCAACCAGTAGACAGGTATGCTTGTTGGATTTCTTGTACTTCAGTTATGCTACAGCCACACTCCAGTTATGGATATTTGGATTCTTTTTAGCTTCCCTGCCCTCCTGAAATCTGCTTGCTCTGTACTAAAATTAATGATATAATTTTTCAAATATTTTCTGTTCAATATGACCACATTCCAGAGATTGTGATTTTAGGAGATGGGCTTGACTATTAATCAATTAGTGGTGATCAGATCTTTGTAGCTAATAGGAGAAGAAAACATAATGTGAAAGTGCAGAGATATTTGCACGCAGAGTATTGTGCTGGGTGATGCAGGTAGAACTGGATCTTGTAGTTAAAGAAGTGTATTATACTAAAACGAATAGACAAAAATGTTCTGGAATGAAAGTCTGTTTCTTTATTGTTGAAAATTCTTTGGTATATACAGTAACTAGTAGTTTTCAAAATCTCAGTTGTACTCCAGATTTTTTACATGTCTATGTGTATGAGAGTATTGTTGGATGGATGAATGGCCTCAACTGACATGCAGCTTCATTTCCAGAGACCTTTTGAATGTTTAGGAATAAAAGAAGGTGGGGACACCATGCAGAGCTTAGTTCCTCAAATTCTTTCCATCCCTTTTATTAGCAGTGGCCATAGGTGACAACTGATGGTCTTCTTCTGGGACAGAAGGCATCTTTTCAAAATGTTTATAGTTTAATTCTTCTCAGTGCAGTTCTCATAAAAGGAATTTTCAAGTGACTTTAGCTCAACAATTCAGTCTTTTGCTCCATTCACTCTTTAAATTTCATAAGAGGCTGAATTTTCAGCACAGGTTTTTGTTGGGCTGCTTGCTTGCTTGCTTTAAAAGGATTCTGGTTTTCGTTTTGGACTTGATGTAAGGATTTCCTGAATAAGAGTGCAAGTTGTGACCCTCTGGCTGACTGCTTACACACAAGTTTTCTTTTTGTTTTTCAGTGCATAAAAAGCCTGTGTTTGCTGCTCCTGAAGGAATCTCTTCTGCTACCCTCTCTAAAGCTGCTTGTGGAAAGTGGAGATCAAGATCTGCACTTCATGGCACTAGAGCAGATAACAGCAGTTGCTAAGGTATGAGCAATTGAATTAGCCATTCTTCCTCATTTGAGGTAATAAATTAGCTCTTCGGTCATCAAGCAGGAAACTAGGCCTTTTGAGTGTAATATAGTTATAATGCCTTTCCGAAGCTTTTGTATCTGTAATCTACAGAAGTATATAGGGCTAAGTGTTCATTTTATATGCTCAAAATGATTAAGACTAATTATGTTTCTTCTAATTATTTTACATTATCTCTTCAACCAATTGTTTAGGAAAATAACAAAGAGCTTTTGTACCTACTTGATGGTTTGTCTTAGATAATCCATTTGTCATTAATTCTGTGTAGACTGGAATATACTGAGCATAACAGATCTGGGTTTTAGATATCTTGACATGCCAGTAGCATGCAATTAAGACAAATCTTATTAATGATCACCAAACTGGAACTTTTAATACTACAAAACATGGTGGTTAGGGGCTGAACAAAATATTTGAAAGGAATGTTTCACAAAGCACATTAGTGTAGGTTACGTCTTCTGGAAGGTTTACTGCAGTTGCTTCAAAAGCTTTCCTGGATTATCTATCTTTATACACAGCTTTTACTTCTCAGTGGAAGTGTTGTCTGCACATGCACATTCATGCAGAAGCAACTGGGAAAAGCTTTTGGAGCTGCCAGATCTTCCAGAGGAAGTAGCTACTTTCATACTTCAATGAGTGATGCTTTGCTTACATTATTGTGCTTTATAAAACACCCTTTCAAATGCTTTACACTACCTGAATAGTGGTTGTGAATCTTTTAAAGAAATGAAGTAATTAACTGTTCGTTCACTGTTCTCGTGTCTTTATTAAAGCAGTCCTCCATATCTTCTGTTGTCATGATTTCAAATAGAAAATGTCAGTTTGGGCATGCAGGAATTTCCCCACTAAAATATTTTTTTAGATTTCAGATGTGTTCACAACCCATACCACCTATGTTTTCTGTTCACTTAATCACATAAAACAGCCTTTAGCACCCTGATGTCTTTCAAATATGTTGAGCAATAGCTCCCATAAATCCTCCAGCATTTCCATTGGGCCATAACCCACAACCAGCCATATTGGATAGAGATTTCTAGGAGACGAAGCACAGTATACCTGGAGTGAATCAGAAGAGGAGGGTTGAAATAGAGTATCTAATCCAGTCAAAATGACAGAATCAGATGATGTGATGAAGCTTAATGTACTAATCATGTATTCTTCCCTTGCCTTTCCATAGTGTCAAATTTTAGATTATGCAGTGTGCTTTGTGAATAATAATCATGCTGTATGAATACCCATAATCGTAAATAATGGTAATCAAGGGTCTGGAGCCAACATTTTTAATCCATTGTACGTACAGTTGCAAACGCTTGAAGTGTAATTTGCCATATATAACTATGTTTGCAAATTCTTGAAAAGTAACTTAACTGATTTTGATGTTTTGATGAGATTAAAATTGCATTGAAAATGTTAATAAGGTTAAAAACCAGCAGGTTTAAACATGATAAACAAAAACTAAAGATAATATTGACAGAGTAACACAGTTAAGACCAAATGTAACCAGATTTGCTAATTTGTAGGAATATTACAAAGTGCCCACTGTTATTTCATGTTGTGCTTTACATGCTGCAGCACAGAATTTGGCCACATTATGTTTAATGTTTAGATGCCAACCTGACTGTTAGAAAGCAATACAGAAACTATTTGAAAGAGTCATTCAATGACCTAGTGATAAACTAAGTGAAATAAACATACTCCCCATCTCTTATAATACTAAGATGTGACTAGTTAATGAACTGTTCATTCCTCGTAGGATATCTTAATAAACCAGCCCTCCAGAAAGACAGCTGGCAATACATTAAAATGGGCCAATGAGAACACTCTATGATATCTAGGCAGTTCCAAAGTATTGAAATAGTTGGTTGGCTCTGTATGAATTTTCAGTCTCCAAGTCCTAATGTCATAACTTGTTTAAGAGTCTCTGATAACACTAAAACAAACCATGTGATATGTTGTCTGATATGGCTTTCTTCCAGGCTGACTGATATTAATCAAGGATTGTTAAGGGGCCAAAAGTTTCATTTTAAGTGGAAACTCAAAAATCAGCAGTCAAGCTTGATTCATCACCCTTGGTAGCCCTAAATTCCATTCACAAGGCTGCATTCAGCAGACATTTAGGGACCTGGAGCACTGTTTCCAAGACTTTGATTGAACTGATTCCAGCAGAGTGTTAGTTGGAACATGGCCCAAACTGAACTGAGTTATTGCATCAGACTTAGCCATTAATAATCTGACAGCAGCAGAAATAATCTGTCCTCCTTTTGAGTAGAGGAACTTCATGTTTGCTACAACACTTATTCTAGGTCTTTTAGCAAATACTGTAATCTTTCTTTTCTAGTAATTGATTTGAAGAGATAAACAGAGTGAGGCTGAGCAATAGCTTCAACACTCTCCTAAACCCAAATTAAGATTGAGATAAAACCACCATATTCTTACCATATAATAGGATTTGCACTTCTCAGATAGCTTACATGGCTGGAGATCCAGATTTTATAGATTCTTGACTACTTAATATAAATTTGTAAAAGGGATAGTACATGATCCTGATTCTGAATAGGAGGAGAATTTAAAACTTACCCTTGTAGATTGCATTTTAGATTCAAGTTTGTATTTTCATGTAATTTATAGATGTGTAGGAGCAGAGATCTATGGTTATAACCTTGAGTTTTCCCTTGAGATTTTCCTGGAGTTTGAATCAAAGACATATTTAAAGTTAACAGAAGCCACAGAGTGTTGTGGAGGATTTTTTCTGTAAAAAAAAGAAAAAAAAACCCTTCTCTTTTTCACATTAGTAATACATTCCTTTTGTTAGATAAATAGTTAGTTAGATATTTGTATATTTTTCCACTAGGTATTATAATACCATTCTTTCATATGCAATAGCTTGTCCTACTTAAAAGCCTATGATTAATAAGTTTTCCCATACTTATCGTCAGTAAACATTTACTTTTCAGCTTGGTCCTAACATTGTAGCTTGTTACAAATATTAAATATGATTTAATTCCAAGTTATTAAGAAACTGCAAAACTAACTTTAGTTTTATCTAACAAAAGGAATGTATTACTAATGTGAAAAAGAGAAGGGTTTTTAAGTTATTAAGAAACTGCAAAACTAACTTTAGTTTTATCTAACAAAGTTATTAAGAAACTGCAAAACTAACTTTAGTTTTATCTAACAAAAGGAATGTATTACTAATGTGAAAAAGAGAAGGGTTTTTTTTTCTTTTTTTTACAGAAAAAATATTTCAGTAGTTCAGTAGCAATCTGGATCAATATGCAATCCTTGCCCCTCCTGCATCTATTCAGTATTCTCACATGTTTTGCTTCTCATCTCCTGTTTCCATCATTGGTTGCCCTCCCACAGTCCGAATGGCTGTTCCAATCTGAAAGGCCCATTTGAGGTCAGAGATGTACTTCAGGATGGGAACATTTTCCCCTCAAATACTTTTCTAATCTTCAAAATTTAAAATTGATTTAATTTAACCACATTTAAATTTAATTAAATATAGTTAATTTAAAGAAGAGTTTCCCTCAAGCCAGTCTGACTCTTGGTGATTCCATGGAGACATCCTTATGGCTTTCCTGGCAGCAATAAGGAAGTCCTTTGCCTTTCCCTTCTTCCAGGGTGTTCCAAGTCTGTATTGCCCTGCCATTCCCTGCTTGTCTCCCATTCAAATATGAACTACATCTAACCCTGTTTCATTTTCTCAGGGTTGCTATGGTGGTTAATATATTTCTTCTAGTGTAATAATGTTCCTCTTCTGTCAGGTTAAAAATTAGAATTCAGTGCCAACTTTCAGGGGATCCTTTGTGTATCCTTGGTGTGGAAGCTCCAAGTTCGCTAGAGCAGACTAACTTCTGGCTTCTAACACCTGAGGAATTATAAAGCTAAACAGTGTGGTTCTTCCTGGTGAGACCACTGTGTCTTCATGTGAATTCAGGGTATATAGGAAGGCATCTATAAACCAGCCACTTGATCATATCATTACCTATTTGTAAGGTGAGAACCGGTAACTCTGAACTACAACATCCAGTATCACCTGTCTTTGACCATGCTGGCTAAGGTTGTGGAAGTTACGGTTAATTAACCCTAAGGGGGTCTCAGATTCTGTATATCATTTAGATTTAGGCCTGCATCTCTACAATGGAGCTTTTAAATATAGGTTGCTGCAGATAATGTACATTGCCCATAATTCTTTTATGGGTAACTGCTTTGTACATCCCCATTCTGAAGTATCGTAGGGAAGGGGAGAGGGATTTGTTCTCTTTCCCTCTTAAACACTTGAAATATTGTAGCCAAGGAAGAGAACAAATGGTCGTCCAGCTGAAATAGTAAGCTGTTGCTCCTTGTCTCTGACGAGACAGAATATATAAACTTTCCTACACTACTTAAATAATTGGCATAAACTTAGGCGTTTATAACATTTGAAGAATGTCACTGGGTGGATTTTTCTTTCTCTTTTGAGGTTTTTTTTCCCCCCTGTTCAGGTGTAACTGTTTTCTTACAATTCAGTCCTTGCCTACATTAAGCTATATTACATGATGCTTGAATAATATATATTGTCGCCAGGCAGACTTTAGCTTGTTTTTCTGTTTAACCATGGCTCTTTTGTTTCCTAAAGCTCTCTCTCTGCTTACATTACACCAGAGAATCATAACCAGCATCTGGAAAGCAAAATCAGAACCTATTGATTTTCCTAGCAAGGCTCGCAACCACAAATATGCAAGAGGAAATGCAGTGCTCACTTGCTGATCAAATGTATTATTTAGTCATTTGTTGTCTAATACTGACAGCTTTATGGATGTTTACATTTAAAGAGATAATGGTGGGGGAAGTGCTGATACCAGGATTTCAGCTGCTTTTGCCTGCAGTAAAAAGCCTGGCTTCTTTTCCTAGCTTTCCTGAAATTGCAGCACCCTTGTATTTGCTGCTTATCCATCTCCAAATTACTGTTT